TAACGTGCTTCTTTGTTCAGAGCACGCTACATTACAAACTCCAAGCGTTTAATTTTGAGCTGAAGACCCTCACACCTGAAGAAGGCTTCACAGCCGAAACGTAGCATTTTCTCTCTTTTCTTTTCAGCATGGAAAAAACCTATTAGTTCTTCCTTTGCAGACTACACTACTTCTTAGTTTTAGATTTGAAACACTTTAATTTTGTAAACTTAACACGCATTCCGTACAGAAATAAAATAATGTCTTCTACAGTTGTTAAGCAGATTAGCAGGTTACAGACAAAATAGCGCACCGTCCAACACTGCCCAGTGATATAACTTTAATATAAACAAGATCTAATACCTGATGCAGTTTTTTACAAAAAAAACTTTTTTTTAATTAATCGAATCCCAGGTGTGAGTTCATAAAGCCAGAATTACGCACTATCCCTAAGTAACACCTGACCATCTGCTGTAAAGCTTTCAGTGCTTTGTTTGTGTATATTCTAATCGCAGTGGGGGCAGGGTGTGTGGGGAAAGGTTTAGGTTGCAATTGAATTGGGGATTTGTATTCTTCACACCTGAAACACCATTGTTTTCTCTGAAAGCATTTTCTTCCCTGTTTAGCTGATCTTTTGCTGCCTGCGCATGCTTTCACAACTCCCTGGGTGAAGTATCATACTTGACTGAGAAAGCTTTAGAGAACTTAACATTTTTATTATTAACAAATTGTAAAAATGATGTTTACATTTGCGTTATTAATTTTTAACTTAAGTGTATGGAGGAGTGTCAGCTGTCAATGAGAGCAGACCCCCCCTTAGGCTGGGCAAATTATTTTTTTTAATTAAGGCGAATGAAAATGAAGGATGTTAAAGTGCTAAAAAATGCACAAATAAAATGTATTTGTAAAAAAAAAATTGTAAAATACAGGTGTAAAAAATACAAAAATGCACATGAGCAAAAAGTTTTAGAAATGGAACAGGTAAAAGGATTTGTAAATATATTTTGTTAAAGCAAGTCAGTTTTTTGCAACACATAAAAAACATTTTTCCAAGAAAGTTTAGCCTTCGTCACTAATGAAACCACTAAATAAAGATAGAAATCTAAAGATTTTTTTTATTCAATGTTGGTAGCAGGATGAACTGTCAGGTTGAGCTAAGTGTATATTTTGGCACAGAGTTGTTCCAAGATGTTAACAGTGAGAACAGGAATTTAGAAATGAATCATTTCAAGAAGAATATTTTCAGAATAATTATAAATCTAGCAGGATAGAGAAAGCACAGAAAATAGGCAGTTAGAGTGATCGGATTAGTATGAAAAGCCATTTAGCAAAGAGGGTGTGAGAAGCAAGACAAACCAATATACTTTAGATCTTTTTCTCTGAACCAGGGACAATCTGTTCATGTTTCTCTATAACAATAATAAAAAAAAAACTTTATTTTATATAAAACCTTTAAAAGTTACATCTCGAAGCAATACAGTAGGTGTAAAAACAGTTATAAGGACCACAGATTACAAAGTAAATACATCTACTGTAAGAAAGACAAGCAGTTAGAAGTGCTACCAAAATTAGAAAATGAAGCAGATACAGACGCTATGTCTTCTGAAAAGAGGTTAAATTTAAATGCACTCAGGGTAGGTGACTCTGATATCACTTGGGATACATATTCAGAGCTCTGGGGTGCAGCTAGAGAAGGTCCTGTTACCCACTGGATGTAGATGTTCTCGAGGACAGCTAGAAGACCAGAGTCAAATGGATTGAGGATTTTGAAGTTGACTCGAAACTCGAAACCTGATAGGAAGCCAGTTCAAGGACTTGAAGACAGGCGTAATGTATCCCGATCAGGATTCTGGCTCTCCAATTTTGAACATATTAGAGATTGTTTACTGTGGATTTAATTACCCCAGTACATAGATATTGAAATGAGGATTGCATTTTAGATTTTGTGTAGTTGCTAACATTGAAATTTGTATTGGATGCACATGAATTGAAGGATTGGGCAAACATAGCTGATGCTGATCCACAGAGCCAGCATCTTAAGATGTTTATA